CATCTGAAATAAAACCTTCAATGTAAATGGACACAATATCCCAATTTAAAGGTATAAACTGGCACAATAGATTAGGAAGAAAAATGCAACAATATACTATATAGAAGAAACAAACTTAATGGGAGGCGAAAGGAGGCGCGGCCACCGCAGGACGCCTGGCTGGGCCCGGCTACCAGGGCGGCTCCTCCAGCTCTCCACCGTCAGCCTGCTGTTCCAAGCTCGCGCCGCGGCGGGGGCGGGCGGCATGCGCGTGTGAGATGCGGCCGTGGGCAGCCCGGAGACGAGGAACGACCCCCGCAGTGGCGGCCAAAGCGAGCACGGCCTCCTCGGTGCCGGGCGTGTGGTGCATGAGGGCGAGCAAGCTGGTGCACGGCAGCCGCCCGCCGCGCCGCTCCCATAAACACTTGTTTAGGACTCATTGGCCTCGCTGAGGCCATCGACGGCCCAGGCATGGAGCCCCCGTGCGATCCCGAACCCAATGCTTCGGCCTTAGCCGCGGCGCCGCTGCACGCCCCAGAGGCGGCGCGACTCCGTGAGGAGCAGGCAAAGGTGGTCACTAACTGCCAAGAGAGAATCCAGAGTTGGAAGACGGTGGATGATGACTATAATGCTCTTCAAGAAAGACTTAATACCTTGCCCCATAAGCTCTCTTACAATATTATGGTACCATTTGGCCCCTTTGCCTTCATGCCAGGAAAACTTGTCCATACCAATGAAGTGACTGTTTTACTTGGGGACAACTGGTTTGCAAAGTGCTCTGCAAAGCAGGCTGTAGATTTAGTTGAGCACTGGAAATAACATATAAGAAAAACAATAGATGACTTAAAAAAAGTGATGAAAAATTTTGAATCCAGAGTAGAATTCACTGAAGATTTACAGAAAATGAGTGATGCTGCAGGTGATATTGTTGACATAAGGGAAGAAATTAAGTGACTTTGAATTTAAAGGAAAACAGCGAATTGCTCATAAACCTCATTCTAAACCAAAAACTTCAGATATTTTTGAAGCAGATTTTGCTAATAATGTAAAATCCAAGAATTTTCTTGCTGATACAGAACTGTGGGCTCGACTTGAGGAACTAGAGAGACAAGAGAAATTACTGGGTGAACTTTACAGTAAACCTGACACTGTGATTACAAATGGAGAAGAGACAACCTCTTCTGAAGAGGAGAAGGAAGATGAGAACACAAATATAACTGTGATGCAGCAAGTAACAGACCTCCTTACTCCTAGCAGTTTGTCCTAAAGGTGTTGCAAGTTCCAAACTACTCAGTGGTCAGGTGAATGGTAAATTGAACTGTTCAGTGAATGGCTCAGATTCTTATCACAGTAATGAAGAAGAAGAGGAAGAAGAAGAAGAAGATGGTGGTGATGGTAGTGATTATGACAATGACCATGATGCTTTGGGGACTGGAGATAATTCTGTACCAACAATATACTTTTCTCATACTGTTGAACCTATGAGGGTTCGAATAAATACTGGAAAAAATACAACTTTACAATTCAGCGAAAAGAAAGAGGAAGCCAAACGTAAACGAAATAATAGCTCTGGCAGTGGTCATTCTGCCCATGACTTGCCTACAATTAGAACTCCTGCTGACATTTACAGAGTTTTTGTTGATGTTGTGAATGGAGAGTATGTCCCTCATAAATCAATTCTCAAGTCTCGAAGCAGAGAGAACAGAGTGTAAAGTGATACCAGTGAGAGCAGTGCTGCCGAATATGATGAAAGGCAGGGAGTTTTGAGGAGTATTAGCTGTGAAGAAGCCACTTGCAGTGACACCAGTGAGAGCATTTTGGAAGAAGTACCACAAGAAAATGATCAAAGGAAATCTTGGCCCTCATTGGGAGCACCTGAGGCTTTTTCTGGAACTGTAATAGAAAAAGAATTTTTATCAGCCTCCTTAACACCACACCCAGCCATTGCTCACCCTGCACTACCCACCATTCCAGAAAGAAAAGAAATTTTGTCAGAAGCATCAGAGGAAAGTGAAAAAAGGGTTTCAAAGTTCAAAGCTGTCAGATTGCAACAGAAAAGCTAGGAAATGGGAGTTTACATCCTAAGACCTACTTGTACATTCTTAGAATATACACAGCAAAATATGTTACATGTAGTTTGAACTAAGGCATCCCAAGTTAGTTTGGCAGCAACTTTTTTTTACCCTTATCAGTGAGTCATACTAAAATTCAAAGTAAATGTTTGAGTACTTTAATATTCTGCTTGTTTGTTAATTCTCTCAATACTGTCTAAGTTGGTCTTATGATTCAGTGGTAGCATTTCAAATTATTTTTTCAAAGAATACTATTCATATGCTTGTTTTGTGTTCAAACTAAATACAAGCAGTTTTTTACCAGCTGTGATGTTGTGCATACCATATGGGCCGTTTTAAAGAAATTTTTAAAATTTCAGTGGATTCAACAATTATATGACTTGCTTTTGCATTTTAAAGGCACTTAAAAAAATCCTCCCTTATAGGTTTTGCAGCTAGGTGGCTATTTAAAAAGACCTCTTCCCTTTGGATGTAATACTGTAATCTTTAAGGCAGAAAGCTACAAGTATCGTCCTATGGAAAAGTCTCTTGGATTGGAAGAGTATTTTGTAAACACATTTTTTTAAGTAAAATCTTTATGAAACATGACCTCTAAAAAAAAAAGAAAAGAAACACACTTAAGTCACAAAAAAAATCATAGGCTAAAATCAAAGGATGAAAAACAATACTGCATGCCTTTGCACCTCAGTAAAAAGAAGAAGCAGCAATCCTTTTCACAGTCTCAACTTCAAGTCAAGAGGGGCCGGGGAGATGGCTCAGTGGAATAAGCGCTTCCTTGGGAAGCTCAGGAACCTGAGTTCAATCCCCAGGTCCATAAAAAAAAAGAATGATCAAATGAAATAAAAAAGGCTACTGTTTAATGGAGAAATTAAAGAGGAAAATATAACACTCAAAAATATGTGCACACCAAACACTGGAGCATCCAACTGTGTAAGACAAATCTTAATGGACATGAAAATTCTAATATGCAATACCATAATCTTAACAGGAGAACTTAACACCCCCTTACCACAAAAATTTTGGTCAAGCAGACAAAAAATTGGCAAAGAAGTAGCAGAGCTGAACCAGAACTTAGAACAAATGGACTTAGTAAACATTTACAGAGTGTTCAACACAACCAGAGCTGAATACATATTTTTTCAGTGAAACATAGGATATTTTCTAAAACAGACCACATACTATTCCATAGATCATGCTTAAGCACATGTAAGAAAACAGAAATTATCCCATACATCTTATATGACCACAGTGCAATGAAACTGGAAATACATGACAAAAGAAACTAGAAACACCCAATAAATACATGGAAATTGAACACACCCTCCTCAGCAACCAATGGCTTACAGATGAAATTAAACAAGAAATTAAACAATATCTGCAATTCAATGAAAACTCGAGCACAACTCCTCCAAATTTTTGGAAAGCAATGAAAGTAGTTCTTAGAGGGAATTTTAAAGCTATGAACTCATACATGAGGAAAACAGAAAGGGAACAAATAAATATACTCATGCTGCAGCTCAAAAGTCTAGAAAAAGAAGATCAAACCAAACCTAAAGTCCAAAGACAGGAGGAAATTATAAAGATTAGAGCATCAATTAATACAATACAAAGAAAATAATACAAAGAATTAACGAATCAAAAAGTTGGTTCTTTGAAAGATTAAATAAAACTGATAAGGTCCTAGCTAATTTCATCAAAAAGAGGAAGAAAAAAATCCAAATACAAGAAATAATGAGTGAAAAGGGTGAAATTACCACAGATCCAGTGGAAATTTAGAAGATCATCAATAGCTACAATGAGAATCTGTACTCCAACAGATTAGAAGACACGGAAGAAATGGAAAGATTCACATAAATTACAAATTACACAAACTGAATCAAGAAGATATTAGAACTCCCAATAAACTAATAATGGGCAGTCATTCAAAATGTAATAAAAAACCTACTGGTAAAGACATTCTCAGTCTTTATGGATTCACAGCTGAAATCTAAAAGAAATTTACAGAACATATAAGACCAATATTCCTCAAACACTTCAGTGGAATTGAAAAGGAAATAAACCTCCCAAAATCATTCCTGGAGGCAAGTATTATACTGATATGAAAATCAGAGAATGGGGCTTGGGAGATGGCTCAGTTGAATAAGCACTTCCCTGGCCAGCATGAGGGACTGAGTTCAAGTTCAACCTCTCGTTCTGCCAAAAAAAAAAAAAAAAAAAAAAGAAAGAAAGAAAAAGAAAAAGAAAGCCAGAGAATGATACAACTAAAAAGACAATCATGGGCCAATCACTCTCATTAATACAGATGCAAAAATCCTCAATAAAATCCTCGCAAATAGAATACAACAAATTATCAAGAAGATTATGCACCAAGACCAGGTAGAATTCATCCAGTGATTACAAGAATCTTTCAACATACACAAATCTAAAAATAAAATACATTATATCAACAGACCAAATTCAAACTCTCATTGTCATCTCCTTTGATGCAGAACAGTTTTATGACAAAGTCCAAAAGTCATTTATGTTCAAAGTACTACAAAAATTTGAATACATGACCTCTATCTATCAGATAAGAGCCATCTATGACAATCCAACTGCTAATAAAATTCTGAATCTGAAAATCTGAAATCTCTTACTCTGAGATCTGTCACAATACAGGTATATCCACTATAATCACTCCTATTCCGTATAGTTCTGGAATCACTAGTAGGAGCCAATAGGCAAGAGGGAGAAATAAAAGGAATAAGAACAGGTAAGTTAGAAGTTAAAATGTACATATTTGCAAATGGCATGATAATGTACTTGAAATAGTCAAAAACCCCACCAAGATGCAACCACAATTAATACACAAATTCAGTAGAACAGCAGGATACAAATTCAATACCCAATAGTCAATAGCATGCATCTACACAGATAACAAACAAACAGAGTGGGAAATCAGAGAAACAATAACTTTTACAATAGCACCACAGAAAATGAAATACTTAAGAATTAATCTCACTAAAGAAGTAAAAGTTATACTCAATAAAATTGATAGTACTATGACAAAAGAGATCATACAGCATTTCAGAAAATGGAAAGATATTCCATGATCCTGGATAGGAAGAGCCAACATCATAAAGATGGTCATACTACCAAAACTTTTTATACAGATTTAATGCAATCCATATCAAAATACCACCAACATAGCTCACAGAACCTGAGAAATCATTCATAAAACTTATTTGGAACCAGAAAAGGCCTAGAATAGCAAAGACAATACTGGGTAACAAAGACAAGGCAGGAGGCATTACAATTCCTGACTTGAAATTATACTAAAAGCTACTGTGATAAAATCAGCCTGGTATAGGCAAAAAAATTTTTTTGATGATCAGTGGAATAGATTAGAAGATGCAAAAGCCTCTACAAATACACTCAGCCACTTTATCTTTGACAAAGTGACCAAATATGCTTACTGGAGAAAAGATAGCTTCTTTAATAAATTGAGGTAGAATGACTGACTGTCTACATGCCAAAAGATAAAACTTGACCCAGTTCTATCACCATGCACTAAGCTAAAGTAAAAATGGTTTAAATATCTACACATTGAAGCAGGAACACTAAATATCCTGGAAGAGAAAGGAGGAAATCTTGAAGACATAGGTGTAGGCAAGGAGTTTATGACCAAAAACCAAATTGTAAGGGAAATGCTTGAAAGAATTAACAACTGGGACCCTCCTCTTATTAAGAAGTTTTTGCACATCAGAAGAAATGAATAACATAGTGTAAAGAGAACCCTCAATTTTGGAAAAGAAAGTGTTAAGTAGTAACCACTCAGAACACAGTTTTTAGTGGCTGGGGATACAGCCCAAAAGCAGAAGTGGCTGAATGGTAGACACAAGGTACTGAGTTCAATCCCAAGGACCACACACACACACACACACACACACACACACACACACGAAAGGTTTATTAAGATAACGGTCTTCATTCTAGAATTTAAAAAGAAATAAAAAACATTAGGGCTCCAAAATTTAAAGGCCAAATCCAGAAATTGGCATCCTAGATGAACACATATTTCTCACAGGATGAAAAACAAGCAGCTAATAAATGCATGAAAAAATGCTGCACATTGCTAGCCATCTGCGAATTGCAAATTAAAACATCATTGAAATGCCATCTCACTCCAGAAAGAAAGGCTATCATAAAGAAATCAACCATGGACAAATGTTGGAGAGGCTGTAGGGGAAAAGGAACTCCTCCCCACTTCTGGTGCGAATGTACAAAGGTGCAACCATTCTGGAAATCAATGGGGAGACTCCTTAAAACCTAGGACTGGAAATCCCATTCAAACCTGCTATCCCCCTACTGGTAATTTTCCCAGAGGAACTGAAAATGTCATATCATAGTAATATATGTGTACCTATGTTTATAGCAGCACAATTTGTGATAGCCAAATATTGGAAACAACCAAGATGCCCATCACATGAGGAATGGTTGAAAAAGTTGTGGCATTTTTATACAATGGAGTATTACTTACCTATAAAGAATAATAAACTCAAAGCCCTCATATATAAATGGATGCAACTTGATTATATATTCTTAAGTGAAATAAATCAGACCCACATGTATAAATACTGTATTATCTCCCTAGTGCAAATACTCAAATGAAGAAATATAGGGGCTGGGCAGATAGCTCAGTAGAATAAGCATTTGCCTGGCAAGTGCAAGAGCCTGAGTTCAATCCCCGGTTCCGCAAAAAAAAAAAAAAAAAAAAAAAAGAAAGAAATTGAAAAGCATAACACAGTTACATGGAAAGTGAGAACTTAAGGATTAAACAAGGAAGAGAGAGAAAGTAGAAAAGTTAGGCAATATAGCAGGGGAAAACCATAAATTTATATAAGCAAGGTGGATTAGGCAATGTTATTAAGAATCTCGATCAGGTTTTTGAATATAGCAGTTAATGGTTAGAATTCTCACCCTGACCAATTGTATACTCTGATATCTGTGAACTAAGCTACACTGTGGATAGCAATGTGTAATACTGAAACCGTGCCTGAAAAACCGATCATTTAGTCTTCTAAATGTGTACCGCAACTACGATCATATTAATTATTGCTATACTATAAAGTAAATGTTTGTTTAAAAAAAGTTATGAAAGAAAACAAAAGACAAGAAAGAAAATGTCATAGGATTGTCCTCCTACAATGCTATATATGGTTTGATTTCTAAATTTCCATGCAAAAATGTGTAATT